GCATATTAGAATTATACTAAAAAATAAATAAATAAACAAATATGATTTATTTATTTATTTGCTTGAGATTGAACCCGAGACCTTGTACGTTCTAAGCATGTGTAACTGAGCTACAATCTAGCCCAACAGGAAGGTTTTAAAAGTTGTACATATGGAATATGGAAATGAGAGCAGGGTGAACAGGGAACATTTCATTTTTGCCACTCTTCACTCTTCAGGTAAAAATTTTACTATTGGTAAAATATGTGAAGACTTAGGAAATAAAGATAGTATACTCTACGTTGGATAAGAGAGGAATGAAAGAGGGACCAGCAATTGTTATCATGGCTTCCTTGCCCTTCACAAAACTTCTCTCTTACCAAAACTACCAAAGTGTCCAAGTGTTTAGACTTTGAACATCAGATAAAATAATGTATTGATGATGCATTTGCCTCTGAACACAGCCCTGTTGCTCCACAGATTCGAGGCGAGGGGACTGGTGCCTTGGGCTCCTTATTCCTGCCCCTCTCTGACCTCCTCGAGGCAGATGGGCTCTGCTTGGACCGTTGGTTTGCACTTACCAATGGTCAGGGGCAGGTGCTACTGAGAGCACAGCTAGGGGTAAGTGCCAAGAGATGGTGGGTGGGCCTAGAGGGAGAGGAGAGGGCCTTTCTGGCTGAAGGACACCAAGAGGGTGGGAACAGAGGGCAGTGTCCTTACCGCAGGAGAGCTGGGAGAACTATGCCCAGCTTACAGCTTTCTTACTCCCAGATCCTGGCGTCCCAGCACTCAGGAGTGGAAGCTCATAGCCACAGCTCCAGCTATAGCTCCTCCTCACTGAGTGAAGCAGCAGAGCTTGGTGGGGGACCCCCTCACATCACCTCCTCAGCTCCAGAGCTCCGGCAGCGCCTAACACGTGGTGACAGGTGAAGGGCTGAAACAGAAGACTGGAGACCAGTAGAAGTATAGAGGGTGAGTTTAAGCCTCCCCAGGCGCTACCTTCTCCCAGACCTATTTCCATTTCTTCACAGTCCCCTCGAGGCTCCTGCTGGGCCTCTGGGCCAGGTGAAGTTGACAGTATGGTACTACAGTGAAGAACGGAAGCTGGTCAGCATTATTCACAGCTGCCGGTGAGACCCCTGTATCGTGTCCCCCAGCTTCCCTGCATGCCTTCCCTTCGATCACTTCATCACCTACAGCCTCCTGTTGCAGGGCCCTTCGACCAAATGGACGGGATTCCCCTGACCCCTATGTGTCACTGTTGCTACTGCCAGACAAGAATCGAGGTACCAAGAGGAAGACCTCACAGAAGAAGAAGACCCTCAATCCTGAATTCAACGAACGGTCAGTGAGTGGGCATTCAGATAGAGAGGTGAAAGGCTTGGGAGGCACCCTGGCCCTAATACCCACCCCTCCCCAGGTTTGAGTGGGAACTGCCCCTAGATGAGGCCCTCAGGCGAAAGCTGGATGTCTCGGTGAAGTCTAACTCCTCCTTCATGTCAAGAGAGCGTGAGCTTCTGGGGAAGGTAAGAGGGCAGAGATGGCCAGGGAAAGGAGTGCTGCTGGGACCAAGGCTGTTAGGCACTAATAATGGGGGAGTATCCCAGGTGAAACTTTGGAGGTGACTCCATCACCTCTGCAGTTATTTGGGACCAGTAGTGTGTAATGATGATGGGACACAGTCTTTGAACACATCAAAATAACATCTTATCCCCTACCATCCTCCAACCTAGGTGCAGCTGGACCTGGCTGAGATAGACCTTTCCCAGGGTGCAGCCCAGTGGTAAGTGTCTGCATGGGTGGGGCTGGGGCTGAATATTTAGGTAGAAGAAATCCCAATCTCAGGAAAGAGAAAAAGGAAATAATCTGAACTGAAAACCAATGATTCTGACATTAGGAACCCTAGGATTATGTCTCATTTTTAAAAGGACATAAGGATCATCATTCTGTTTGAGCCCTTTCCTTATCTCTCCAGGTATGATCTGATGGATGACAAAGACAAGGGCAGCTCCTAGGAGCTGGTGGTGACCAGCCCAACTTGGCTGCCTTCTTGCCTTGCCTCTTACAGCATCCCCGCCTCCAATATGATGAGCCTAAAGCCAGGGCCCCAGGGCGGAGCCTGTACTCTTCAGCCCTCTTGCCTTTCAGGCCCATACTAGGGCCTTTGCCTGACCAAAGAGAAGGACCATATGTTACTCTTTACTGCATGGCCTTTATCCCTTGGGTTCCTGGGGCAGGGACCTGAGCTGACTATTTCCTGCTCTGTCTGCATATTGTTCTCCCTTCCTCCCAACTCCTCAGGGCCTTCTGTACCTGTGCCTGGCCACTGGCAGCACTAGCAGTGGCATTAGCTTATGCCAAATACAGCTTTTGGAAAGATCTTTCTTCTTTAGCTGGTTGGTCACCTTCTTTGCTATCATGATCAGTCAGACAGGATAGACATGTGTGGGAAGGTAGATAGGCTAAACTCTCAAGCTGTGAGCCTCTTGGACTACTGCATGTAGCAGGTGTCCAGCAACCTGAGCTCTGTGTCCAGTTCTGTCCTCTCCTTCATCAAGCCTGCCCTACAAATACACCTGCTATAATTCCTAGCACCTGCCTCCAGATTCATTGTCAATCCAGAACATGTGGATTCTACTCAAGCCACCAAATAGCAAGATACCAGTCTTGGAGCCCCAAGCTGGTAATATGCAGATGGTCTTAAAGGATTTGGGACAGCAGGGCCAATTTTTTGTTCAAGTGCCTAGGTTATAAACTCATTGACTAGAACTGAACCTGATACTCTTAGTTCTGCACCAACTCTGTCAATCTACTGTCTTATATTAAACATAATACTCAAACCAGCTGTGGCTGTTTTCCTTAAGAATTGGGAATCCATCCTGGACATGGTGGCCTATAATCATTCCAGCAACTTGGGAGGCTAAGACAGGAGGAATGCAAGTTCAAGGCCAGCCTCAGCAACATAGCAAGACTTCAGCAACTTAGTGAGATCCTGTCTCAAAATATAAAAGGGGCTGGGTATGTAACTGTATGGTAAAATGCCCCTGTTAGATCCCTAAACCAAAAAAAAAAAAAAAAGAAAGAAAACAACAAAAATTGGGACTCTAGCCTAACTATCAGAAGTTTATTATAACTGTCAAAAGCCTACATTCAAGGGCTGTGGTGGGGCTCAGTAGTAGACCTCTTGCCTAGAATGTGTAAGATACTGGGTTCAATTCTCAGAACTGCATATAAATGAATAAAATAAAGGTCCACTGACAGCTTAAAAAATATTTAAAAAAAAAAAGCCTTCATTCAGTCACAAGTCATGTCAATTGTGAAAACCTACTGAGGGGGGCTGGAGTTGTGACCCATGGAGAGGTGAAAGGCTTGCCTAGCATGGGTTCGATCCCCAGTACCATATTAAAAAACAAAACAAAACAAAACAAAAACCCTAAATAAACATCATAAAGAAATATAACCATCTACAGTTATAAAACAAAACAAAAACCTATTGAAGGGGGATGGGGCTGGGGCTCAGTAGTAGCGCACTTGCCTGGCATATATGAGGCACTGGGTTTGATTCTCAGTACTCACTACATATAAATAAAAATAAAGGTCCATTGACAACTAAAAAAATGTTTTTTTAAAAAAAACCCAAACCTATTAAGATCACAGTTACCACCAGGCACAGTGGCTCACACCTATAATCCCAGTGGCTTGGGAGGCTGAGGCAGGAGGATTACAAGTGCAAAGCCAGTCTCAGCAATTTAGTGAGGCCCTAAGCAACCCAGGGAGACCCTGTCTCAAAATAAAAAAGGGGGGGCTGGGGATGTGGCTCAAGCAGTAGTGCGCTCGCCTGGCATGCGTGTGGCCTGGGTTCGATCCTCAGCACCACGTACAAAGATGTTGTGTCCGCCGAGAACTAAAAAAAAAATTAAAAAATAAAAAAAATAAATAAATACATAAAATAAAAAAGGGCTGGAGATGTGGCTCAGTAGTTAACCAACCCTGAGTTCTATCCCTGATGATTAAAAAAAAAAAAAAAGAGAGTTCATAGTCACCAAAAATATTGATTTCATTGAGGATGGTCAAGGGCCTTGTGTGAAGCAGGTGCTGAGTTTCAGGTAAGACTTATTTTCAGTCAGTGATGAAGTTTTGTTGATCCAGCCTGTCTGCTGATCACTGTCCTCTCATGGCTGGCTGGGGAAAGGATTCCTAAACCTGGTAAACCTGGAAGCTCAGTGTCACAGCATAAGCTTGTAGTCTCAGTACCATCAGGGCCTGTTCAGTCACATCCAAAAGGGTTTCAGGTTCATCTGACCAGCAACTTAGATTTCATACCTATTTTATTATTTTTATTCTTAAAATTTTTTTAGTTGTAGATGGACCCTATACCTTTATTTAATTAATTTATTTTTATGTGGTGTTGAGGATTGAACCCAGTGCTTCACTGAGCCACATCCCATCCCTAATTGTATTTTATTTAGAGACAGGATTTGAGTTGCTTAGCATCTCGCCACTGCAGAGGCTGGCTTTGAACTCCTGTCCTTGACAGAGCACTTATCTACCAATGGAGCATGTGCCAGGCCTTGGCTTCAATTCCCAGGACTGCAAAACAAAAACAAAAACTTAGGACACTCCCAGTGTGAAGAGGGGAAAGATTCAGGGGAGGAGACTAAGCTCAATTCCATAATTTTTCACAAATTTTCTACCACTGAGCCACAACCTCAGCCCCATATCCATTTTAATACCCATGCTCACTTTGAACTCGGCTCCTCACAGGAACCGTTCTGGAATGCAGGCTCTAGGGATGTGCTCCACCACGTGTTCTAACTGCTAAATGAAAGGAGAGTGACATGGATGAAAAGTTACTACTAAAAACAGGGTCACTGGAATAGGAATTTGGAGATTTTCTTAGTGCCTCATAGGCTTTATCATTTTCTCTAAAATGATAAAAATCTTATCCCAGTGTGCATGCTTATAATCCCAGTTGACTAGAGAGGCTGAGGCAGGAGAATCTCAAGTTTGGGCCAGCCTAGGCAATTTAGTGATACTCTGTCTCAAAAAAATATAAAGGGCTGGGCGTGTAGCTCAATGACAGAGCACTTATGTACCATTGGAGCATGTGCAAGGCCTTGGCTTCAATCCCCAGTACTGCAAAACAAAAACAAAAACTTAGAATGCTCCCAGTGTGAAGAGGGGAAAGATTCAGGGGAGGAGACTAAGCTCAAGTCCATAATTTTTCACAATTCTCTTTATTGGCAAAAACAGAATTTAACTTCTATATTGTCCACTGACTTAGCTGCTTTGTTTTCAGTGATCCCTTTGTACTAATTGCTGGTTCTCCTGCATCTTCCTTCTCATCAATTTAAGAGCACCCCAAGCTTTGCCATGAGAAAGAGTTCTCACTTACTGCTGCTTCCTCCTGACCACTCCAGACCCTTAGTGGGGTAAACTCCAAAGACACAGGGCAGAAGAACTTACATTTTTAAGGTTTCTTACTTAACTATTGGATACTGGGCATGTGACCCAAGACCTGCTAGTCCAGCTGGCTTCAGATAATACACCAGGGATTTTGCTTTATATGATTTTAAGAAATCACTTTAAGTAATTATATTTCTAGAAACCAGAGGACATGGCACAAATTTTCTCAGTCTGGAAGGGTCCATACTCTTTCTTTACCTTTCCAAAGTTCAGGATACAATAGGGAGGAGTACCAATCTGCATATTAAATATCACTCACACTTCAGTATTCAGTACTTTTTTTTTTTTGTGTGTGTGTGTGTGTGTGTGTGTGTGGTGCTGGGGATTAGAACCCAGGGCCTTGTGCATGCAATGCAAGCACTCTACCAACTGAGCTATATCCCCAGCCCAATGTAGTTCTTTATTTGGGTGGGGGAGTTAAGAACTCAGAGCACTCAGCCACTGAGCCACATCCCCATCCCTAATTGTATTTTATTTGGAGATAGGATTTGAGTTGCTTAGCATCTCGCTACCGCAGAGGCTGGCTTTGAACTCCTGTCCTCCTGCCTCAGCCTCCTGACCTGCTGGAGTTACAGGCATGTGTCACCACACCCAGCAAGTCAATACATAGTTCTTTTATGTACAGGAAGATGAACCAAGTCATTAGAGGGATTAAATATTCTTGTTATATATCAAAATAGTTTCATTTTTGATATCTGTGATGCATGTTGCACTTTTTCCAGAGAAAGACAGGTATGACTGCATATGGGGACATTGTCATGGCCTTTTGCAAATGCTACTTCATAGGATGTGGCTCTACTGAACTAATGTGCTGTAGTAAACTAACTGGGTGTAGCAACACAGATGGCTACCCAATAGCTTTCTCCTCTTCCCTACATAGAGAACCCCAGAGAATTCCAAGTGGCAGTGTACCAGCCCCATGGGATTAATCACAATCCTCTTTGCTGGATACTCATTTTCCCAGACTCCCCTATAACTTGGGATAATTCTGACCCAGTTCTAGTAAAAATGTAAAAGGAAGTCAGTTGGGGACTGGAGCATCAAAAGAAGTCATGCTGGGCCTAGTGGTGTATGCCTGATAGCAGGGACTCAGAAGGCTGAGGCAGGAAGATCACAAGTTTGAGGCCAGCCTCCACAATTTAGCAACCTTAGCAATTTTAGGAATAAGGATATAGCTCAGTGGTACAGCACCCATGAGTCCAATCCCCAGAACCCAAACAAAAGAAAGCCTTCATACCTCTTCCTTTTGGGGAGTGGGGAGTTGTGGTGCTGGAGATTAAACTCAGAACCTCTCAACCCCTTCCTTTTTAGGTCATTAGTATCAGGATGTGATGTCTGGAACTATAGCAACTTTTTTTTTTTTTAACTGAGCTATATTCCCAATTCTTTTCATTTTATTTTGAGACAGATTTCACTAAGTTGCCCATGTTGGGCTTGAATTTGTGATCTTCCTGTCTTAGCCTCCCAAGTAGCTAGGTATGTGCTTCCATGCCTGGCTAGTAACCTTTTTTAAGACCAAAAAGTGACCAACACACAAGGAAAGCTAACATGATTACAGGAATACAAATTTACAAATTAGGATCATAGTATAACCTACTTTATTCACTTAGCACAAAAGCATTTTTATACTTCATAAAGTATTCTTTGAAATCATAATGTATAGAGCTGAGGATGTATCTCAGTAGTATAGTATTTTCCTAGCATGCGTAAGGACCTGGGTTCAACTCAATTCTTAGTATCATGAAAAAAATATATAATAGTTGTATATAATGCCACAGAATGAATTTACCATAGTTTCGCTGATCTATTGTGAGGCATAAAGATAGTTCCCAATATTTTGCTAATCACTGGCAATAGACACAAACAATATTTATATATGTCTCAAATGCTTTAATTAGGATAAGTGGGATTACTGGGTCAACTTCTGTACTTTAAAAAAAAATTTTTTAGGGGCTGGGGATGTGGCTCAAGCGGTAGCGCGCTCGCCTGGCATGCGTGCGGCCTGGGTTCGATCCTCAGCATCACATACAAACAAAGATGTTATGTCCGCCGAGAACTAAAAAATAAATATTAAAAATTCTCTCTCTCTCTCTCTCTCTCTCCCCCTCCTCTCACTCTCTCTTTAAAAAAAATTTTTTTTTAGTTGTAGTTATTTATTTATTTTTATGTGGTGCTGAGGATTGAACTCAGTGCCTCACACGTGCTAGGGGAGCGCTCTAGCACTGAACCACAAAACCCAGCTCTCAACCACTGTACTTTAATGATATTTACTGCATTCTTCTAAACTGCAATTTAAGAAGATTATAATGCAAGTATCTTATATGTGCTTTTGTCATGTGAAAATCGCTTTCCTATATTCTCTCCAATCCTGAATATT